CCACCCACTGCGTGTGCTGCCAAACTTGGTGATTTTATTTAGTAAGAAAGTCCCTCAAGATCCAAATACTCTGTCGTTGCTGTAGGGGAAGTTTGAGAACAGGGAGCTTGGTTTAGCCTGTTTGCTGAGACAGAGACAGACAGACAGGCAGAGAGAGAGAGGAAGGGTGGGAGGGAGGGAGGAGGAATGAGGCCGGGAACCAAAGCCAGCCAGCCGGAAGTGTGTTATAGGAAGGACTGGAACCGCGTTAGGAGGGGAAACTGGGCAATTTCCCCAGTTTTTGTAAGCCGGTTCTTTACTCTGAAATGTATTCTGGGAACACTCACCTCCTTCTCCACAAATGACAGGCAGTATGAAAACTTCTTAAAGCCAAATACTGACAGTGAGGGTAATGACTGTGTCTGCACCGGCCATGACGACGGGTCAGGGGTCACCAGCATTTGCTCTTTCTCTCCTGCTTTATATTTAGAAACAAACACTCCTTAGAGAAACTCTTTCTAAAACGAACCCCCCTTTGCCAGCGCTGGCTCACAGAGCCAAAGAGCACGCAGGCAGTGTTACTGGCACGACTTTAATATTTACCCGCTGGGCTACCTGGTAGGTGGAACTAAGAAGCAGTTCATAGAAATGACCACTTAGGACCCCTTTTCCAACATTACACTTTTGAGTTCTTTTCCACATACTCGGTGCTACTGCCCTGTGCACTTCTGCCTCTTACTACTGCAGATAACTAGAGGTTTGGTGTTTTAATGACCAACATGAAAGGAGGACATGTATTTGTAGGGTCCATTTAAATATAAAAGGAATTGGTGTTTTAATAGAAACATTTTTTTAAATTGAAGTAGAGTCAGTTTACAATGTTGTATTACTTTCTGGTGTACAGCACAGTGATTCAGTGGTACATGTACATACATAGATTCCTGCTCCTAGTCTTTTTCATTATAGGTTATTACAAGACATTGAATATAGTTCCCTGTGCTCTACAGGGGGACCTTGCTGTTTATCTATTTTACACACAGTAGTTAGTATCTGCAAATCCTGAACTCCCAATTTATCCTTCCACCCTGCCCCAACCATAAGTTGGTTTTCTATACCTGTGAGTCTGTTTCTGTTTTGTAAATAAGTTCATTTGTGTCATTTTTTTAGATTCCATATATCATGTGATATTTTTCTTTCTGTCTGACCTACTTCACTTATTACTTTATTTTTCTCTTTTTATGATAATCTCTGCATCCATCTATGTTGCTGCAAATGGCATGATTTTGTTCTTTTTTATGGCTGGGTAGTATTCCATTGTATAAATATACCACAACTTGTTTATCCAGTCATCTGTTGATGGACACTTAGGTTGCTTCCATGTCTTGGCTATTGTAAACAGTGCTGTGAGGGACATCAGGGTGCATGTATCTTTTCGAATTAGAGGCATTAAATGTTGATCCAGGCTTTGCAGAACTTTGATGAGGGGGAGTCCCAGGTGGGTCCTTTGCTGCCAGTCCCATCACGTGTTCATTCTTTGGGGAAAGGTGTTCTTTGGCTGCAGGGGCACCTCGGCCAGAGCTGCCTGGCTCCCCGAGGGTCTGTGCTTCTTCACTTAAGGGAACGTAGCAGTGACATGCTCTTCTGAAAGGATGAATATGGTGAAGGGGGATGAGCCAGCTTCCAGAACCAGATGAGGGAACTGGTACCCAGACAGATGAGGGGAGTCACGCTGATGTGTCCTGCTTCTCTTTCAGATTTACATGAGCCCAGAGGTGATCCTCTGCAGAGGTCATTCAACCAAAGCGGACATCTACAGCCTGGGAGCCACGCTCATCCACATGCAGACGGGCACCCCGCCCTGGGTGAAGCGCTACCCGCGCTCCGCCTACCCCTCCTACCTGTACATAGTGAGTGGGGCAGCTGGCGCGAGGGCAGAGGGAGAGAGCTGTCCTTTCTCCGGGAACACTCACCCTCAGGGGGATAATGCTGAATGAGGGACCCAGGGGAGGGAGCTGCAAGTTCCTCCCACACTGAGGGATGGTCCAGTCTTACAAAGACATCACTGTTTCAGCGGGAAGCTACGAAAATGTGCATTGCACGGAATAATATGCTGTTCCATTATACAGGACATCACTTAGAAGCATCAGAGTGGCATAGGTCATTGAGTCAAGGAACTTGTAGATGTTCTTTGAACACTTCCCCCCGCCCCAAAGATACTAGATTATAGATCCCTGTGGCAGCCTGGCACGTGGTGAAGCATGGTGAACACTGAATATGTCGAGGCAGGTACTTCCCCGTGACCGCACAGTGACCTTGGCTGCTCCCATTCAAAACCGCCCCTGTTTATCCAGACCTAACACCCATCTTTGACTGCTGTAAATCAAAAGATGGGTTTAACTTGGTGTCCTTTGGAAATGAAAGGAAAATTTGTTCAAGGTAGGAACTATATTTGCTTCAGGGCATGTGGTGGGAAGCCAAGGACTTGCCAGGTCCTGTAACCAGAATGCCTGAGGGTCTCTTTGCCTGCCCTCGATGCTGAGAGAGCTGTCTGTCTGTCGCTAGATCCACAAGCAAGCACCCCCTCTGGAAGATATCTCTGAAGACTGCAGCCCCGCCATGAGAGAGCTGATGGAGGCCGCCCTGGAGAGGAACCCCCACCACCGCCCCGGGGCGGCCGCCCTCCTGAAGCACGAGGCCCTGAACCCCCCCAGGGAGGACCAGCCCCGCTGTCAGAGCCTGGACTCTGCCCTCTTTGAGCGGAAAAGGCTGCTGAGCCGGAAGGAGCTGGAGCTTCCGGAGAACATCGCGGGTACGGACGCCCTGCTGTGTGCGGGGCCCTGGCTGCCCCTCCTTCTCTGTCTTCATCCAGCTTCCCGTGGAGCTCATAAAAACACTTGGGGAAAAAAATGAAGTGACTCCTTGCGTGCTATAAGTTGTTTGAGAAATTTCAGCCAGAATGTTAGCAAGAGTGTATTTTTAAAAACTGGCTCATTTACCAGCAAAGTCTGACAGGTTTCTGGTGCACATGGAGGTAGAGCAGACACTGAGAATCACCTCTGCCTTGCTTTTTTGCAACAGAGAAGAGCATTTGCCTTAAAAAAAACAGATCAGGCATGACGGTTTGGCTGCTGGCAGAGAGGGGTTCTGGTCAGTGCAGTCGTGGTAAGCCACGCCAGCCCTTGGTTGGAAGCATCACGGCACTAGTAAAACACTGAGTTTGAAGTCAGCTGGCGTTTCTGTCTCCCTCTGCTTAAACTCTCATGGCCAGCTGTGAAGCTTTCCCACTTAGGAAAGTCAGGGACGCATTCCGGGAGCACTGAATACACACGGAGAGAAGTTTCTATTTTCATGATGAAATTGTGGCATTCTTAATCCATGTGGGACCAAACCCAGACGTCACGCCTGGGACGCTGGTTTGTGTTTCTCCGCTTCTTGTCTGACTTTTCTGCATTGGAAGAGAGCCACCTGGGGTGTGGGAACACAGGCCAGGAGTTCAGGCTGCTTGTGGTTGCTCACTCTGTTTTTGAATTCTTTGCTGTATGTCGCATCGCATCAACTAGCCCACAGTATTCGACTCGCCAGCTCTTTAATACCACCACAGCCTGATGCTGCTTCATGAGGTTCAAAGTACTTACTTTGCCAAAGGAACACACATGTATTTTTGAACGTGTCCCCTGGTCATTTATTTTTTTTCAATGTTTCCCTTTTCAGATTCTTCATGCACAGGAAGCACTGAGGAGTCAGAGGTGCTAAAGAGACAGCGTTCTCTCTACATAGACCTGGGGGCCCTGGCTGGCTATTTCAACCTCGTCCGGGGTCCACCGACCCTGGAATACGGCTGACTGATGGCGTCCTTTGCCCTCCGTTATGACTCAGCGTTTCTCTCTCTCTGGGAAGCTGGTTCTGCTGACTCTGCACCGGGGCTCTGCCGAGGGAATCGTGCATTCCTTAGCCGGGCTCCCGTGGACTCACGGTTGTGACTCCACGTGGCTCCGGCGTGCTCTGGTTGGTGAAGCTGCCCTGGGACCCACCAGGCTGGAAGGGACTCACCTCTCAGGTGGTACGTCTGACGCACAGGATGCTGGGACTAACACGGAAGGATGGCTTCTGGTGACTGATTTCATTCACTGTGCACTTTGCTCGAAATTTTTAAAAGATGCCAATCACAAGGATAATATATTAGCCTGAAATGACTATTCTTGGGTTCTAACTTAAATCTGGGAACTTCGTGTAACTCAAAACAGTTGTGTGTATATTGGTGTACATTATATGATAACCCTCTGAGCCTTTGTCAGTAAATTCCAATATATATTAAAATCTATATTTTGGGTGAAGAGAACAACTTGAATATTGTAGCAATAAGCTGAACTAGTGTCTTAAAAATGGCCAACTGGTTAACGGGGGGCCATCTGACAACAGGCCACGAGTCACGGGTTCTGTTATGTTCCTATGGAAACATTTTGTATTGTACATGCTATGCTTAAAACATTTAAAACATGATGTTTTGAATGTGGATAAAACTGTGTTAAACCACATAATTTCTGTACATCCCAAAGGATGAGATTGTGACCTTTAAGAAAAATAGAAACGTTTATAAATTATTAATGATGCTACTTTTATAATTAAGGCTCTTTTCTTTAAAGCATTTGTATATGAAAATAGCATACTGTGTATGTTTTCTATCAAATGCCTTCATGAATCTTTCACATCTGTATGTACGTAGTTTTAACACTGTAAAGTATGTGAGCATTCCTACTTAAAGTAAGTTTTTACATCATGCAAATGAAAACAACACTTTTATCCGACGTGCCTGGTCAAATCAACTGAATAAATATAGTATTTTGCCTTAATTATAGTAAAGAGTGTGATTCTCAGCTGGGACTGGGATGGGTCACGGGGGCTGGGAAATAGGTTGGAGGAGAACATGAGCCAGGAGGAGGCAGACAACATCTGAGAGCTTTGCAAACTGTATGTCTCCTCTTCTGCTGCTGTGTTAAGCACTGTGTTTCATCCCTTCAGTACATAGTGGTCGGAAAATAATTCTTGGCCGCTGGTTCAGTCTGTGTTGTTCGATTTTGCATCTTGCTTTTATACACTTAGGCTTCCTCTGAGTAGATCTCGCATCCTCCGTGCCTCTTCTTGTCAAGCTAATAACCAACTTGCCTTTGCAGAAGGCAGATTTCAGTCACATGAACGAACTCTCATTGAGAACTGACGAGTGGGAGTCCGATCCACTGTTCACTGAGCAGATAGTCTGAAACACCCGTACGTGTGTTTCATAAGACACGCCATCCCTGTAATTCTCAACAGCACACGCGTGAAGGATGCATTGCCACCTCTGGTGTTTTTCAGAGGAAGAAACTGAAACGTAGTGAGGTTAGGTAACTTAACGCTCAAGGTCACTAAGTGAGAGACGAGTGGTGTTTGAACCCAGACCTTCGTGGTGCCCACGATTATTTTCTTCCTTGTGTTGTGCTGCTTGAAAGTGATAGACACCATCATAAGCGATGGGGCGTCTCAGTGCAGAGAAAGCCCAGCGTCCGCTAAGGTGTGCTTCTCTAAGGGCACAGGTGGATTCACCACGAAGCTAATGCAGCTTCAGCCCTGGCTCCTCACCTACCCAGGCCCCTACTTTCCTGTTCTTGCAGACCAGGCCCAACACACCTGGGCCTGCACTGGGGTCAGTGTGCACAACTGATGATTTCCGTGAAAAACCTAAACAGACCCTGTGAACTGAGTTCCAGTTAACCAATTCCACTTGCAGAAGAACATTCCTTTTAAATAAACTGGGGCCCTCGTGGGAAGATCTGGGGATGTTTGTTTGCTGAGGTGATCGGGGCGGCGGGGCAGGGGCTGAGACTGTGATCAGAACAGCCAGGGGAGTTTGGGACTGAGTGCTTTACCCACTCAGACATCCATTTCATCAGAGATTACAGAGAAGGAGTGACGAAGCTGGCTTGTCTGGCTGCCCAGAGCGCAGTAGCTGCTTTCATGAGATCCTGTTAGTTCCGGGGACTATACAAGGGGAGCCCACTGGCAGCAAGTGAGGGGCGAGCACGGGAGCTCAGCTTCCTCTCATTACAGCCCCGCGCCCAGCCGGAGGTGCCCGGTAGCGTAGCGGTGCCGTCCCAGGACTAGCACTGACGATTGGAAGAGTCAGGGGCTGCTCTATGAATACGGGCCACAGTTATTCTTCCCTTTCACTAATGCATGCTGCATTCTCTCTCCAGGAAGCTCCGTGGACTTCAGGTCTACCTTTCCCGGGTGAATGTAGCACTTCAGAGAGCAGGAATCGCCCTGAGTTTCATGGAACCCGTCTCTGTAGTGGTCCATGGATAAACTCCGGCAGACTTGGTTTTTCTGAGCCTAATTAACATTCTGCCGAGGGATCAAGGAGATGAGAAGGAAGAAGGATGTTTTCAGGGACAGGAGAGTCAGGCACCCTGGGAGTGGAGCTGATTTCCAGCTCAAGATTCTTTTCACCAGAGCACGTGTGTGAACGGCAGGGCCATGAGCCCGCAGGCAGTGAGGATGACAGAAGTTACAGGATGGCAAGAGCTGGTGCCAACAAGGTGTTCTGCCAACTTCCGGGATCATGTGGGAAGGAAATGGTATAACCTCCCCATCCCCAGGTATTTCTTCTGCGTGGAAATTCAGGTCTTGCCAAAGTTTTGCTCCCAGTAGAACCGAGGACTGGGTGGGGACTCCCTGAATCCCTCACAGCCCCCCATGTGGACTCATCTCTGAACCCTCACAGGACCAGCGAGCAAGAAAGCCCCTATTGTTCCTATCTTAATTAACTAACACAGGAAAGAAAGAGAGCACACACAAGGTCATTAATTCGGCTTTTCTCACCGAAACCCCAAGTTCCATTTGCTGCCTGGCCAGCGGGGCAGGAATGAACAGAAAGATCTGGCAAATGCCTTCTTCAGTCTCCTCCTTGGCCCCGACCAGTCCCCAGCCCAGTCTCCAGAAACAATCGCTGCTCAGAGAGTCTCCACCAACACACACGAGATTATCTAGCACCTTCTCTGTGAAATGACAACAAGTCACGGAGATCAGTGCATCGTCTGATGTCTTGTATTGTTGACACTGTGTCCCAGCAGTGACAGAAGGCAGTGTCTGCAGAAGAGCAATCGTATTTGGAGGGAGACAGGAGTCAGCAACCAAGGACAGGAGACACATGCGGTCCAGTGACCCTGGGAGGTGTGCAACTTGTGTTAGACGCACAGTTCCAGGAGAAAAGCACTGGGCACTGCAGACACTGGAAATCCTGCAGCATCCCTTCCAGGTGACAAGGCAACCTGAGAGAAACGTGCTCATGGAGGCACTCCCTCCAGAGGCAGGAGTCTAGGGGAACCGCAGGATGAGCGGGTGGCTCTGGGCTGGGCTCGTAGCAGCAGACCGTCACCAACTCCAGGCTGGAGGGACCAAGGGGAGCAAGTGACTACTAGACTCGGAGCGAGAGCTGTGCAGAAGAGGTCACTTCGGAAGGAACAAGGACCTTTTGGTCAAGGGGACATGGCCAACCCCAGGGCAATCTCACAAAGGAGTTAGAGGACCTCCAGTCAGAGACCAGAGAGGAAGGGTCCACTGGGGTTGTCGGAGCAGGTCAGCCCCCACCTGGTTGAGAGCCAATGGGGAAGGAGGGGCGGATCTGGACGGGCATTTGGTCTCAGAGAGCACCTTGTCCTGGGTCTCTTACCCTGCTGTTTATTTTGGTTTTTTGTTTTTTAAATTAGATGAGAGATGACACAGGTGCTCAAGATCCTAGCACCAAGAGCGACCTCGCAGGGAGAGTAGGACATGGCCGGGCGGATGGAAGACTGTCACATGCAGGGAAAGAGGAACAAACAAACCCCAGGGGCAGGAATGAGCAAGGCAAGTCTGTGGAGCCTTGAGGGGTCTTCCTGACCCAGCAGAACCTGAGGGATTATGAGAAATGCTGGTCAAGGGGTGGGGTCATGCTAGGAAGGGCCAGCAGGTGCATTTCCCGCTGGTGGGGCAGGGAAGAGGTTGCGACAGGAGGTCTTGAGATGAAAGCGGCACTGAGGAAGACCAGCCCCAGCAGAACAATAAATCCACTGAGAAAAGGGGAAATGGGGTTCAGGGAGCCCAGCTGGGAAACCCTGAAGTGAGTGCAGGACAGGAGGATGGAGCCTGGATTTGAACCTGGTAGAGGACTGGCAGGACTTTATTTGCTGGGTGTGGAAGTGAGAGAAACGGGCTAGTGGTAAACACGAGTTTTAACCTCTGGTGACTGGAGAGAGGGGATGAGTTGACAGAGGGAAGGTGAGACGCCCGGTCATCCAGGGCAGGGGTGGGGACCGCGGTGGTGATGAGCTTGGGTTGAGACAGGGTGGGACGGAGAACACTTGTCTCTTTCGATCCTGATCCTGACACGTGTGACCAAGGATGGGGAGGTGGGGGCTGCCCTCCACGGGGCAGGGAATAGCAGGGCACTGTCTACAGAGCACTCACAGATAGTAATGAGATCAACGAAAGTTGATGTGCTTTTCGTTACTACGATGCCCTGGTCAGTGATAAAATGCTCCTCCTCGAATAAAATCTTTTGTTGGTCTGAGTTCTAAACAATTGCTGTGGTGACTGCTGACTTTTCATAACACATGCAAGCTGAAAGTTAGCATATTTTAACTATTTATATTTTTTAAAAAATTAGCTGTTTTTAAAAGTGGTGGTAAACTATACAATTGACCATTCTGATCATGTTTAAGTGTGCAGCTCGGCGGCATTATGTCCATTCACACTATTGTGCAGCCATCACCACCACGCAGCCACAGAACGCTATTCATCTTGCAAAACTGAAACTCTGTCCTCATTAAACAGTAACTTCCTGTTGTCCCCCCTCCCCCCAGCCCCTGGTGACCACCCTTTTACTTTCTGTCTCTATGAACTGACTGCTGTAAGTACCACATAAAAATGGAGTCATTACTTATGAATAAAGGCATGGGAGTCGACTTAGGGAGCTAATTATAAAGTGAGCCCCATGGAGAACTCAGCCACACTAAGAGTGTCACCTAAGTTTTCGGCAGAAATTTTGAAGGCCAGAGGGGAGTGGCATGATGTATTTAAAATGATGACAGGAAAAACCTTCAACCAAGAATACCCTACCTGGCTCGGCTTTTATTCAGATTTGAAGGAGAGACGTCTGTGACAGTTTTCTCTTTTGAGCTACCATGTTCACTTCAATTTTATTTTTTCCTACTGACATGGCTACTATGTGGTTGAAGTTCAATATAAGAACGTTTTCACTTGTCTCTGCTTCTTTTCTGGTCGTAACTGTAACTTATTTTATTTCATGATCATGACTGAAAAGAATCTTGCTGTATAGAGAAAAGGAGTTAAAAAGTGATCTGCTCTGGAGGTTATGTTAGATGCGCCCCTGTGACAGAGTCACACCTCTGCCAGTCATCCAAAGGGGACCTTTTTCATTAAGCTGCTCAGAACACTGAATAACTTCCTAACTCTCGTTCGAAGTTGGAGATGAGAGCTGGGACCGGGGTCCTGCCTCAGGGTATCCAGATGCTGGCAGACCAGAGTGTGGATCCCCACACTCACTCACAGTGGGCTCTTTAAGACATATTTTTTTAATTGAGGTGTAGTCAGTTTACAATGTTGCAAGACACATTTTTTGAACAAACAAACGGATGAATAAGTGAAAGCAAGCCTCTTCTATCTGGTAATTCCCTTTCTGCACAAAGGAGCACGTGGGATCTTAGCATGATTTATAAATACACCCAGAAGACATCTCAAGGATGGTGTAGTGTATGGGTATAAGGTTTCCAGAGGATTTATAAACGTTGGCATGGCTTTCAATGTCTCAGCGGTA